TTTTTTTTTTTTTTTTTTTTTAATCTTATGTTTGAAAGATTTTAACTCCATTAATTCCTAGACCTCAAGAGGCCGATCGTTTACAAGCGGCTGAATTAAGGGCATTTTAAGGAACTTTATTTCCGATCGATCGAGATCAACTTTGACGAGGGTGTCGTTCCAAACCCTGAACCAAATCGATTTCAAATTGCCATTCAGGGTATTACTGAGGATTACAATGCTGGCCGATTGAGAGTTGCTCAATCGAACACATCATTTGAGACTTCGAGCCAGCCTGGTTACAATCTGCTCGGGCGCAACAGGGCTACTCCGTGCGAGAGAGAGAGAGAGGGAATTGGGGGAAGCGGAGCGAGAAAGCGGGCCAGGAAGAGAGAGCGTGCAGAGTGGGAAAGAGGGAGAGAGAGCGCGCTGAGTGGGAAAGAGTGAGTGTGAAGAGGGGAAGAGAGCGAGCCAGGGAGAGAGAGCGTGCTGAGTGGGAAAGAGTGAGTGTGAAAAAGGGGAGAGAGCGAGCCAGGGAGAGAGTGTGTGCAGGGAAAGGAAGTGAGAACCAAACCCAGTAGGTGCATAAACCCCTCGGTTGAGAATAACTGTCGTCTAATCAACGCCAAGAGTGGCCCACCAAAAGATTTCTAGTCGCGTCATGATTGATCTGTCTTGCATGGGCTTTCAAATTGGGGGTTGTTTCAAAATATTTTCTCATTGTTGGATAATCCACCTTGTGATACATACTGTGTGAAGGTGGATGGGCGAGCAACTGTTGAGTCATATCGCAAAAGTTACTTCCAAACAGGCATATCAGCAAAGATTTGTGAGGTCTTTTCTGCATACACGCACACAATGTCATTGAAACTCATGTTCCTTGAAAAACACTATTCGCTGATTACAAAGAACGGGGCATTTATTTCACTTGCAGGGCCTTGCTTTCAGTTGCTATTGTACTCGCTGAATACAGCGAACAGGGCCTCCTATACACTTCCTGTTGTATTCGCTGATTACAACGAGCAGGACCTTCTATGCAGTTGCTGCTGTAATCGCTGTTCAC